GTATCGTACAAACGTGGTAGGAATGTAGCCGGTATTTATTTGGTGCCTGGGAAAGTGTCAGTTATTGTGCTCTGAGTGCCCCTGGAAGGCCCTGATTCGGTTATGTCCAATACTTGTTCCTCTGTGCCTGGAACGCGAAAATGGATTGTCGTACACTATCTTCCTGGAACCACTCTCCTCGCCCTTTGTTGGCGTGAGTTCTTTCAGCTTATGCTATGTTACTGTAGCATTTCCCCTGAACTAATCGCAGATCCGCCAATTCGTGAAAGGAAATTCAAAGAAGTCACAGTTTGACAAATTACGGTTTTTATTGACAAGGGTTATCCACCTGTAACTATCTGTTAATGACAAAAGACATCATTGGTGCTGGGCCTTTTCATCAAAAAATTGTAGAAGAGAACTTTTTTGATATAAAATTTTTTTGTAATTTGAAGCAAAGTTAGTAATTTTTCTTTTTGAATGCTTAAGTATTCCAATATGCTACCAATTAAACATGGAACCATTTCAAAATAATGCTTAATAACAAAGTTGAAATTCGATCTTCAACTGTTAATATCTTCTAGAAATTTTCGAAAAAAAAATTTCTATATTTTTCTCGTACTCCCCAAGTGAGCCTCCATCACCCCTTAAAAGGAATGACGTCAATTTTGAATGACCCTGTATACCGAGAAGTGACAATATGGATAAATTAATAATGCAGGATAAGCCAAACGGCGCGCGTAGTAGAGGACGGTCTCCCTGCCGCTGGAAAGATACCATCGGGCAACTTCTCCCCACTGATATTGAGACCGCTCTACGTGGAACAGCTAATTGATCGCGATGGGGCTATACCATCAAACAGGTAATCAATACACTTGAGGGGACCTGACGGAGACCGGAAATTACATTCATGACTTGTCACTACACGTCTGCCAAGACGTTATATTAAGAAGAAGATGATGGTCCAATTGGTTACCTTTCCTAGACACCAAGACTTCCAATAAGGCCAACTGTTGGTTTTGTTCATATTTCATGGTAAATTGTATATCTGGATGTTGTCTGTTCAGGTGGCCGAGGAATTTGTCCAGGTTGTCGCATCCATGTCTCCATATCACGAAAGTGGCATCGACATATCGATACCAGATGGTCGGTTTAAAGGGGGCGGTTTTCAAAGCAATTTCCTCGAATTTCTCCATGAAGACAATTGCTACAAGCGGGCTGAGTGGGCTCTTAATGGTTACTCTTTCCTTATGTCCGTGGAAGTCTTCATTCCACAGGATCTAGTTGTATGGATTCGTTTATGGGCACTTTTGTGAACAGTGGCACGACATCAAAGCTGACTAGCATGTCCGTTGGTTCTAATAAAACATTTAGAGTCTCTGATATGTGTGTCTGTGGATCCTTCATGTAGTAGCAGAAGAAAAGCTACGGAAAACGGAAAAGGGTGAATTTTGGGTAATCCATACAAAAGTGGTGGAAGGGCCTCTGACTTAATGATTTTCTTCATGACGGTCTCGTTCAATGACGACATTTTTTTATCAGGCGGTTAATATTCCTGAACTTTACCTGAGTTGGGTCTTTCTTGAGCTTTGTGTAAGTATCTGGAGGTCTTGAATCTTCTGCTCATAGTCTTCTCTGTTCATAATGACAGTAGCAGTGCCTTTGTCAGTTGGCAGGACAACGATCGTGGTGTTCTCTCTTATTTCTTGCAGAGCTTGTTGTTCCTCTCCCCTTACGTTGCTTGGCGGTGGTTTTGCTCTCCGAAGGATTTGGGCGGTTTCCACCCGTATTTCATTTGCAACTTGTTCCGGAAGTCCTTGCAGCTCCGCTTCGGTTTCAGAGATGACCACCTTCTCTATTGGAACCATTTTTGAACTTATTTTCTCCCTTCGCCAAAGCAGAGTGCTCCTCAGGTGTTAGGTTATTACTGTTGAGATTAACCACAGTTTGTGCTGGGTCCGGGCCTGGTGTTGTCCGAAAACCACAAGTTTCAAGCAATGGCACCCCCCACTAATTTTGGGGAACGTATATGCAGGGTTATTAATTGATGCATTTGAAAACTTTTTGCGTCGTTGAAAAAAATGTCGTCAGTTGAAAAAAGTTGAATAATTACATTAATCGAGGACGGATGGTCAACGAAAATAGTAGCTGAGAGATTTGGAAAATCGAAGAGAACCAAATAAATTACTAATTAAAACAAGCTTGTGACAAACATTGTACGTATATTTGGCTTATTCCACAAAGCCTGATTTACCGAAATCAGGCAAAGTCGCCCTTAGTAGTCGTCTGCTTTTATGTATCGTCAACTGTACATTTCACTGAACGGTACAGCAATCCATGGAAAATCAATATTTGTGCCAACTTAAGTTTGTGCTGAATATTGTCACAAGTCTATTTCGAACGTGTGTCTTGCAGTGTGTGTTGACCAGCGACTTGAACGCCACGCTCGCCCGATCTAAATATTTTGAACTATTTTGCTTGGGGACATCTAAGACCAATCGTTTCTGAGACGACAGTAAATAGCCGTGAGAAATTGATTCGCAGTATTAAAAACGCTTGTGGTAAAATAAAAAATAATGTTGTTCAAATAACAGCTGCGGGTAATATACTAGTTCCTCGATGCCAAAAATATATTGAGGCTGGATAAATGCACCTTGAGCAATTATTGTAATTTTTGAAGTGATAAATTTTTATGGAAGGGTAAACCGATTTTTCTCGGTCACGGCGAGCCGTAACTGCGGCTCCCACTCCGGCCTCTTCGCGCCTGAGTCTTGGGACGCACATATGCACTTTGAATTCGACATTTTTCTCTTAGTGCGGGTGCATCTGTAGATCTGATGAACTTTTCAAATACACATTGCGTTATTGAACTGATAGTGTTTTGATTTATCAATTATGGAGGGTGATATTATTGTGTTCGGTGCAGTTTATTTTATAACGCTGATAACAAAGAATCAACAAACTATCAAGGGAGAAGCTGCAGATACTGCAAATACTATGTTAAGGGTGCTCATGTACTAAATGCCTCTTCGAGTTTTGCCTTCTTTTAAATTTCCAAATAAAGTGCACACACACAATTATACACACTAAAGCAGTTTAAGTGCATAAAAATGCGGATCGTCGATCAATTTGCAGAAAAATGTATTACAAACTTGTGAAAATCATCTTCAAACGACCGCGTATTTATCATTGCAAATGAGATTGCACATTGCCGTGTACTGTTAAATATTGTTTTAAGAACTAACATTC